AGCTGTAGAATGGCCTAGCTAATTCCATGAGCTTAAATCAAAGTCCCTTTAAGGCAGGGATGTCTAGACGCAATCCCGGAGGGCCGGTGTCCTGCAAAGTTTAGTTCCAACCCCAATCAGACACAGCTGGGCTAGCTAATCAAGCTCTGACTAGGCAGTCTAGAAACATCCTTGCAGGTGTCTTGAAGCAAGTTGGAGCTAAAATCTGCAGGACACCGGCCCTCCAGGACCGAGTGTGGACAAGCCTGCTTTAAGGTTTGGTATTCTTATAGTCTTTGGCTGTTTTATGTTTGGGTTTTTACTGAAATCTGCTTCAATTCCATGTCAACAGCTCCGTTAGAAATATTATTCCCAAGAAAAGATGTGTTCAATATTTATTTTCCCTGCTTTATAGGACATTTTATTTATTATTATTATTATATTTTAAAGCACAGTTGTTTTATCTCAGCCGTTAAGCCAATGTATTATTGTGTTTGTAATTCAGTCATGCAGGGGCGCAAAAAGGGGGCATGCAGAATATGCGGCGCCACATATGGGGGGAGCCACTGCGCCAACCCTTTTTTTTTTTAATTGATCCTAATTAAAAGTTTCAAATAATAAAAATAATAAATATGTTTTGTTACAAATGCTTATTTAGCACTTTATATGGCTATAATATTGCATTTCATTAAATAAAAAAATGATACCATGAGTTGCATACGTTGGCAAACTCCACAATCATTTGACACAATAACATGCAGTCACACAGCCAAGTGTAAAGTGTTCATGAAGATGTAACTGTTCAGAAATCATACATACAGTACGGCTGAGGTCAAAAGTTATAAGAATAATCTGAAACATTTATAACTATTTATTATTGATTAATTATTTTGCCAAAACTTGCATGTTTATGTAAGTACAAACCTCAATATATTTCAGATAAAATAGGAAATAAGATTTGGATTAAAATAAATCCCCTTTATGAATTTTATATAATTGACTAAAATTATTCTTAACCCTGTTAAACTGACACATGAACAAATAGTGAGAATATTCAGTTTTTAAAACTGAGATGTTTATTAATCCTTCTAGCAAGATCCATTTTTCATACCCTATAGATGTTTTTCTACATTTATTATGTATTATATTGATGATGCATCAGGCCTTTTGGGAACTTTTTTGCTCAAAACAATTGTAATTTTAGTTACAAAAAAAGGTTTGCCCATAACATTTTGATAAAATAGAACATTTCAGGCAGTTTGTCTATGTTTATTTTTTACTCTAAACATTTTACCGTCTTTTTTATTTCACTTTGTGAAAGGTGTGATAGCAGTTTCAGTCAGTTGTTCATATAAAGACCTTACACCTCGCATACGACAGGTGATTGCATTATTTCCCAGAGATGGGTTGCGGCTGGAAGGGCATCCGCTGCGTAAAAAACTGTTGGATAAGTTGGTGGTTCATACCACTGTGGCAACCCCGGATTAATAATAATAAAGAGGATGAACCGAAAAGAAAATGAATACATTTTCAACAGGGTTAATGATTAAACACGTTTCATGTGTGGCTTATGACATCCACCACCAGGCGGCGCTCTAAGTACTCTATCCAGGGGTTTTGCCTTCACTTTTCAGGGAGCTTAAAAAAACATTTAACTAATTTATTGGGTGTTTCCCTGGTGTATTTAGTTCATTGTGTCACTATCTGTGTATCCTGACAAGAAAGTAAAATTCTTTCACGTTTGCTTTAAAATAAAAACACAGCCATATAATGACATTACAACATAAATACTCTTATTTTCTCTTGAAGAAATCAAAGAAAACATTTTGTCACTATGTTTAGTCTTTTTAAGATCAACAAAAACAGTTTGGGAATCCCTTTAGTTCAGACTCGGCCATGTTTATAGTTTTTTGGCGCATATTTACAGGCGGACTCAAATAAATTGTATATAAATGTCAGCAGCAGGTTTTTAAAAGTGCATTATTTAAATAAAATTACAATAATTTTCGACGAGGATGGGATTCGAACCCACGCGTGCAGAGCACAATGGATTAGCAGTCCATCGCCTTAACCACTCGGCCACCTCGTCTGATACACCGCATCACATCCGATGGGTTTTCATTGTCATGACAGAACAACGACATACTTCTTTCGTTAATGTCTAAAATAGGTGTATATGTAAATAGGTGTACTTTATGTCATTGATAATAATTAGCGCTGTTTATAGATACGAAACAATCACATACTGTCAAACCAAAACACGCCATTTTGGCTCAATTAAATGCGCGCGCGTTCTCCAGTGCTTACGGTAAACGGAAGTGGAACGTAAGCAAACATGCGCCGCCATGCGCAGTGAGTCTCTTCACGAGCGCTTTCTCTCCTGTGCGTGTTCACAGGCGTCTAACGGACGTCTTTTTTTTGCTATCCAAACATGCAACTCAATTCCCGCGCAAACTGACCTGCACGACGTCTTGCTGCAATGCAAGTCAGCGCAAAATCTGCTGCATGCACGCACGAGGGCAGCCTAGCTGGATAGCACAAGTGTTGCCCTGGCTAACCCCCTAGGTGGTCTGTTGAAGAACATTTCATCAATATCCATCAAACGCTTCAAGCATTTGTAATGCATTTCTCTAAGAAATGCTCAGTGTTTAAGGTGGTGCTCAGCGCCCTACTTATTGTGGCTCTCCTGCAGCTTTTATATCTATCCTTCCTCTCAAAATTGCACGGCAAACAGCAGCGCTACAAATATTCAGAGCTTTTCGGCTCCAAAAAGAATGCAAACCAAGGAGAGAAGAACCCCAGGCGGGAACATCTCAGATACTCTTTATCCACAGGTGGGATCTTCGATGGGAGCGGACAATATCGAGTGTATAAAAATCTAATCAAAAGCGACTTTTCGACCAATCAGAAACCAGGCGCCGATCCCAGATCGCACCACTTGGCTTTAGCGACTCACACGACTATCAACAACCTCCACCACTTGGAGTCTTTATTGGAACGTTGGAAGAATCCCATCTCTGTCGCTATTTTCGCTAATGGCGAAGATGTTAAATTCGCGACTGCCATCATCTACGCGCTCAGCCTGTTTTGCCCACAGGTTCAAGCATTGGTAGACTTCCATCTTGTCTGCCATTCTGGTGAAATGGCCACTTTTCCAGACCAAGATCGAGAGCATTTTGTTGGCCTCCAGGAGATGGGCTGTCCTGCCGTATTCGCCAAACTGGAATCCCACAGAGATAAATATAAAAACTACGCCATCGGCAGCAACGTTTCATACCCCAATAACCTTCTCCGCAATGTGGCCCGCGGCGGCACAGATGCGGCCTACATCCTAGTCATCGATATCGACATGATACCCAGTGCCAATCTGCACCACCAGTTTGTGACCATGCTAATGAAGCGTGAACCGGCGGCGGATGAAGTTCTGGTGCTTCCGGCGTTCGAAATCCGACACATTCGTAAAATGCCAGCCTCGAAGCCGGAACTGGTGCAGCTGTATCAGGTGGGCGAGGTGCGGCCTTTTTACGATGAACTCTGCTCTCGCTGTCAGGCTCCAACTAACTACTCGCTGTGGGTTAACCTGGCCAGTAAAAGCTCGGGCCCGCTGGAGGTTTCCTACACTATTAACTGGGTGGACCCCTGGGAGCCGTTCTACATCGGTGCTCGATCGGTTCCTCTGTATGATGAGAGCTTCAGGCAGTACGGCTTTAACCGCATCAGCCAGGTGAGCACATGGAGAATAGGAGAGAAATCATTAGTTATTATTAAAAAAATATAATAAAAAATGATTAGTGTTGTCACGTTACTGGAATTCGTTACCAATCTGTACTGAAATTTTACAAACGTTCATTTACCGCTAACATTTAAGCGCTGATGAGCGTGTTCTTAAACAGCGCTGATTGGCAATTGTGTTCATGCGCTCACAACAGAAGTGATTGGCCGTGAAGGTCATCAGTTTGCCAAACTCATCGCTGTTTACTGAGTGTAAACACATACAGGGACACTGGAGCGTTTTCAGTTCGTTTGTTAACTAACACTTGCAGTGAGAAGCTACGATACAGTAGAGCTGCACAATTAATCGTTAAAAGATCGCGATCTCAATGCGACCCCCTAGACGATCTTAATCCAGCATTTCTACGATTCTGTCAATCATATTTTCAAGTTCAGGAGAGAAGAAAAGGCGGCTGCGCGAGACTTTTCATTGTTTCACACACGTTGCTCAGTGACATTGACACCTCCAAATGATGTTGAATGAGTCACATACTGTATTTATAAAGTATAATTCACCTAAAACTGTCATTTTTTTTCTTAACATAATGTTTTCGCGATCGGGAAATCACACGTGACATGAGCTGCAGACCGTGAGCTGTTATCACAAAGAGGGCGCGCGCTTAATGATTGACGCGCACGCGCCTACTTTAGTGAACAGAACCTGCATATGTTGTGAGTAACAGGTAATATACAGTTGTAAATAATATTCAGTTTGTGGCACAGAGAGATCGTTTGGGAGCCGCGTGCGTAGCATGAACAAGCACTTAGCAGTCAGAATGAAACCGAAAGTGTGCACTTTATTTAAATGATCATATCGCATTTTAGAGTTATGATTGCAACAAGCATTTGATATGTTTTTTCTATCATAGCGAACACACAGTTGTGCATGAAAATAAATGTTTACAGTGTCAGTATAACTACTCGAGCCTATATATTGTTGAATATAATCTGATAATGGCAAATGTCTGATTTTACCAGTGAATAAAATTGTCTAATATGACAGATTGCAAGCATATATCTCAAACATAATATCTCAACATCACAATTATTATAAGTAGAATAGAATTATTTATAGAAACCAGTAGACCTACACATAATATTATTATTGATGTTGTGCCATATGTTTGTTTTTACCTTACCTTTATTTTACATCTACAGAATCGTGAGAAAATCGTGATCTTTATTTTAAGCAAAAAAAAATCGTGATTCTCATTTTAGCCAGAATCGTGCAGCTCTACGATACAGAATACTGAGCTGAAGCTGGACTACAAAATTAAATCGCAAGTCAAATGAAAATCGCAATATCTTTCAAAAAAATCACAATTAGATATTTTCCACAAATCGCACTGCATTGTTAGTCAGTACCAAATCCCAAACTGGAACTAATCTGACACTTAGGTCACAGTCCGAAAATGAGTACACCCAAATGAATATGTTGGGGAAAAATGGTAATAAACAGCAAAAATTACGAGAAACATTTTGTTGAAAATTAGTTTGTTAAATTTAGTTTTTTTTTTTTTTTTTTGCAATACCTTGACTGGGCCATGAAACCCCCTCGTTTCAGCAGGGTGTTTTCACACCTCTACGTTGGAAAAAGTCAGAAAAGTGGGCGTGTCCAGCTCTGTTTAGAGGGGAGTGTCGGAGGAAGAAAAGTGGGATGGTGTGGGAGTGTCTATTTGGGAGCGCTGAATTTCAGAGTCAAAACACACACCCACAGCGGACAATGTGACTGTGTTTACATGGACATCTGTAGTCGAATTATTTGCCAGATTATTAAATGGTGGACTTTAACTGCAGTTTGGCACTTTCATTCAGGGAATCCATTCATGTCCCTCCCGACAAACGTGATATTTGATTCGAGGCTCTGCTCTAAGCGTGTATTTTTCATGCAATATTTGATACCGCACGGCGAATGAGAGAATAAAAACCTCAGCATTTCCCGGAAACTTAGATACACACGGCAGGTAGCGTCAGAAAGCCGCGTGTGTTATTCCGGTCACTAAATCCTACATGAGGTTATAGTTTGGTTGTAACTGTTAGTGCTAACTTGTTTACACTCGTTGCAATAGTTTGTTTGATACGAATAAAATACGAACTGAATAAACAAAGAGCACTGGTCGCTCACTTATCAAATCTGTAGAGACAGGACAATCACCAGCAACTAGAGCCGCGTCTTTATTAAGAGGAGACTAAAGCGAATCCGGATCTCAGCGTTTGCAGATGAGAACAGCTCTCAGGTAAACAATAATCCTCCTTAGACACGTAAGTTATTGTTGTCGAGCGTCGCGTACACTGTTAATCCACACGTGAGTCTGAGCTCTCACAGAGAGAAAATGAAATCGAAACTTAACTGCAGCAAACTATAAAAGCAACACTTCACGCTTGTTTTGCCAACACAACGTGGCTTCTCTGTCGTCTACACTCTGACAGTAATGAATATTAATGAAGTTGCACAATAGAGCGCGCTGATTGGTTTGAACCAAGCCTTACTCATGCATTAATGCATCACACTGTAAGACGTAATAAGACACACTCTGGCACAGACGTCCAGTCTGCACGCTGGAATACACGCTATTATGTCATGACCGTGACGCAGCTTCAAAAATTCGTTTCAAACCGGAAGTACGAATTTGCTTGAAATAACGCAAAAACAACCAAATTACACTTTTTAGTGAAATATAGGTGTCCTAATAGTGTTTTTAGCAGTGTGGGACACATATATGACTGTCAACAGCTCAAAAAATGTGTTTTGGTGTTTTGTGACCCTTTAAATTCTATAATATTTCTATTACTGAAGCCGATAGGTGACCAAACTCTTATTGTAATGGATATAACTGTTTAATAAAACGTCTTTGTTTAAATGCACCGAAGTCATGTTGTCTATATTCACTGAGAAATGAACAAAAACATTCAGATTTAAAAGGGGGTGTACTTATTTATGATCAGCACTGTATTTCGAAATAACCAGAAAAAGCGTTCTCAAAGGGTGACACGGTGGCTCAGTGGTTAGCACTGTCACCTCACAGCAAGAAGGCCTCTGGGTGCTCCGGTTTTCCCCACAGTTCAACACATGCGCTATAGGTGAACCAAGTAAACTGAATTGGTCGTAGTGTACGAGTGTAAATGAGTATGTATGGATGGATGTTTCCCAGTACTTGGTTGCAGCTGGAAGGGCATCCGTTGTGTAAAACATATGGTGGATAAGTTGGTGGTTCATTCCTCTGTGGCGACCCCTGATGAATAAAGGGACTAATGCGAAAGAAAAATGAAGGAGACTTCTCAAGAATAGTGTGCATTAAAAGTGACCCGAGATCTAATGTGAACTAGGAACTTTCGTAGGGCTCAAAACATACATTAACTTCTATTATTCATTCATTTCCTCAGTAACTTACTGCTTAACTCTCTCTTTCTCTGCTCTTCAGGCTTGTGAGCTTCACATCGCAGGTTATCGCTTCTCTGTGGTCAGCAATGCGTTTCTCCTGCACAAAGGGTTTAAGGTCCAGGGAGAGTTTCACAGCAGAAAAGACGAGGAGAACCGCAAGAACCGAATCCTCTTCCGCAGCTTCAAGGAGAGCCTGAAGGCCAAATATCCAACCTCGCCTCGCCGCTGCTGAGAAAACAGACAATACTTCGGTCAAATCCTCAACAAGATCTTCCAGACTTCACAGAGAAGAATCACAGATGCACAAAACTGAACGAACACTGTCTGTATTTTCAGAAACTGTACTGTAAGGAGACACTCATGAATGCTACATTTATTTATAAGGTAAGGTCTTGTTTAAAGGGGTTAGTTCACCCAAAAATTAAAATGGGACCATCATTTCACATTCTCTTTATCTGTTGAACACTATATATATGTATTTTGTTTCTACATTTGTGTCTATGTTTTGTTTCTACTATGGATGTCAATGGCAATATATCTATATATATATATATATATATATATATATATATATATATATATATATATATATATATATATATATATATTTGAGCCATTGACATCCATAGTAGAAACAAAATACTTTGGAAGTCAATGGCTATCATTTTTTAACATTCTTCAAAGGCCGCATTTACACTGCCCTGTTTCGAGTGACTCAATTTCGATATTTTTCTCCCATGTGGCACAGATCAGATATGGCCCGTGTACGTGTAAGCAGGAACAAATTACATGGATTCCGATTTACTCAAATCAGATTCAGGTCTTGTTCATATGTGGAAATGTATCCAACATGAATCAGATCTGTGTTCTCGTGTCTGCAGTGTAAGCAGGTAGATCGGATTTTCAACTGTCAATGTGAGTCGCACGTGATTAAAAACCATAGCGAATGACGTCAAGTCTGACACTTTCATTACAGAACAGACTTCAGCAGAGTCCCAAACCTTAAATTCATACACGAGGACTTGAACAGCTTTCATATTGTCATATAGCACAGGTATTAAAGCATGTAAACAAGAGTGAGAGAGCGCAATGTCCTACACGTAACCAATATAAACTAATATAAAACTTGTGCATACATGATTACGTGTATAAATCAGGCCATGGACATTACATTAAGATGCCTAAAGGTTAAAAAAAGCTCATACAGTTGAAGTCAGAATTATTAGCCCCCCTTTGATTTTTATTTTCTTTTTTAAATATTTCCCAAATGATGTTTAACAGAGCAAGGAAATTTTCACATTATGTCTGATAATATTTTTTCTTCTGGAGAAAGTCTTATTTGTTTTATTTTGGCTAGAATAAAAGCAGTTTTTAATTTTTTAAACGCCATTTTAAGGGCAAAATTATTAGCTCCTTTAAGCTATATTTTTTCTCGATAATCTCCAGAACAAACCATCGTTATACAATAACTTCCCTAATTATCCTAACCTGCATAGTTAACCTAATTAACCTAGTTAAGCCTTTAAATGTCACTGTAATCTGTATAGAAGTATCTTGAAAAATATCTAGTAAAATGTTAGTTACTGTCATCATGGCAAATATAAAAGAAATCAGTTATTAGAAATGAGCTATTAAAATTATTATGTTTAGAAATGTGTTGAAATAATATTTTCTTTGTTAAACAGAAATTGGGGAAAAAATAAACAGGGGTGCTAATAATTCAGGGGGGCTAATAATTCTGACTTCAACTGTATATCCAAAGAAGATGGACAAATGAGAACCTTTCTGTCATAAACTATTGTAAATCAGCTTGTTAAAAGCTGCGAACAGATTACATGGTCAATGCGCCTTTGCCGTGTGCTGTGTGAATGCAGATGATCGGATACGAGTCACTTTTAAAAGATGATGTAAGCAGGTCATTAAAACAATCGGAGACAGTCACAAAATCGGAATTGACCGTCAAGATCTGCCGTGTAAATGCAGCCAAAGTGTCTTTGAAACTCAAAACAGATTAATAACTAGATAAGGGTGAATATATGATGACAGTTTTCATTTTTGGAGTGAACTATCCCTTTAAATAGAGAGAAACTAAATAAATATTTGAAATTTGAGTTTTCAGTACATTTGTGACTCCTTTGGATTTTAAGAGCAACGTCAAATGTTTTCAAAGTTTATTTATTTATTTATTAGATTTTCAAAATTGTGTTTTATGCAGGGTTTTTTTTAATTTACACTGCTGATCAATAGGGCAGAAATTCAACTACTATCATGACTCTAGTTGACTGATTTACTTTTATGCATTGCATTGTATTTTACGACAGCATGGTGGCCTCACAGCAAGAAGGTCACTGGTTTGAGTTCCGGCTGGGCCAGTTGGCATCTCTGTGTGGAGTTTGCATGTTCTCCCCGTGTTGGCGTGGATTCAAGTCCAAACACATGCGCTATAGGTGAATTGGATGAACTAAATTGGCTGTAGTGAGTGAATGCGAGTGTGTATGGGTGTTTCCCAGTTCTGGGTTGCAGCTGGAAGGGCATCCGCTGCGTAAAAAACATGATGGAGTAATTGGCGGTTCATTGTGCTGTGGTGACCCCTGATAAATAAAGGACTAAGTCAAAGGAAAATGATTGAATTAATTTTATTTTTAATGGTGATTTAATGGGTTAGTTCACAAATAAAATGTAATATGCCATTATTTAACTTCAAGTAAGTGTGAATGACTTTACTCTTTTAGTTGAATCTAATAAGAGTTATATTAAAAATGGTCTTTGGGTTTTCCAGATTTACAGTGGTTGACTGATTTAAAAATCTGAAACATTGTAGAAAGCCAGATATTTTTTTATCCTAATATCTCAAAATTTACATGGAAAAAAGCAGGTTTGTTGTTGTTGCATTTAGCATCTTGCCTTTATTTGAGAATCGTTCTGTTTAAGCAGTAGCTAATTGTATTTGTTTTGTCTATTTGTTATATCACTAACAGGGTATGATGCGTATTTACAGCATAAGAGGCACAATGTTCTGCGCCTCTGTGATGTTGTGACGCTATAAGTACACGTGTTTGAGTTCCTGACGAGACGTCTCACAAAGACTCAGAGATTAGTTGTAAAGCTATTAACATATTAAGGTCGATAGGCCACTTTTATGCTAATAATGACTCCAAAGACGCTCAAAGATCCTGATGATATTACACACGCACAGGGAGCGCTGTCTGAAAATCATATTAGTGTTTTAATTATATCTGGCTGTGGATTAGGAGTAGATGACAATAAAGTGACATTAGATTATTATGGCTGTAGTGACTGAAGCCACCACATGGTGTGCAGATGAATACAATGAACGAGCAATACTGTATTTGTTATAGATACTGTAAGAGATCACTGAAGTGAGGCTAAATTAAAATAACTTTTCTTTTCATTGAGTGATGTTGAATGGGTGTATCTTTACATTTGTTTCCCTTCTGTGTTGCTGATTAATTTATGTCATACTAATGTTTTGGATATTTAGCACCATTTACCCTGAAAGTATTGTTTAATATTGAAAGCATGTTGTGACAATTGAACACTGGAAATACACTGTCAATCCGGAAACCTCATTGTGATACTGATGATCAAATGATTGTGTTTTATAAAGTAGTGACATGAAGTCAACATGTAATTCTTTGTTTATACGAGAAACACTGTTTTTGGATTTTGTTATTAATATTGACTATTTTGTTTACATAAACGGACATCATTTGTGTTGGTTTTACATTTTTCTCTTGCTATCGGTTTTCACTTAGAAATATTTCACCTTTTTACTGACAAAAGAAATGGTGAATAATTTATTTTCAGCAGAAGTCAGTACTTTTTATCTAATTGTAGGCCAATTTTAATATAGTTGCAGTTAATAACATAGTTGTGTATAGCTAAAATTCACTATAAACGTTCAGTGTTTTAAATATCATTATACTAATAAAAGTCTTTGGAATTTCAGTGCAAATGCATTGTTAAAAACTAGTGAAATTAGACAGATGTCAACATAAACATGACTTTATCCTTATAAATTATAATGAAAATGTAGAAAATCTGAATACAATCAAAAGAGTGTGATTTGTACAATGAATTATAAGCCAAACCTTGAATTAAATACTGTTATTTTATATATTGTTGTATGTAGGTACACATTTTCTAAACTATTTTAAGGGTCACTTTTGTTTATTTATGAACAGCTCATATACAGTATATAATGATATAAACAGTAACGCTAATGTGTTGATCTTAAATCTAAACTCTAATCTAAAAGATACTCATGAACTATATAATCTGATGGTAAAGCACTGTCAGAAAAAATGTGTCAACTGTTTCATAAAACTGTCATAAAGTGGATATGTAAATACTTGATAATACACAAAAAATAACATTGTTTTAGTATTGTTGAATGACAACTAATTTAGTTGTATTTTATATTATTATTGCTTTTAAACTGATCCTTTTTGCCTACACAATTTGCTACTTTTGTGTTTGTTGCGACCTTTAAGTTAATTTCTTTCTTCTTATCAGTCTTTAGCTTGTTTAATCCAAATAATAAACGCATACTAATTTAATACACAGTGCGTCATTGCAGCGACTCGCCAGACGAGGGCGCGAAAGTGAGGCGGGAAATAACCGTCACTCTGCAACTGTTTCAGGTGAAGCGGCTTCATAAACACATCAGACAACCTATGGCGAATCCAAGAAAAGCCCTTTTCTCCCTTCATCTTCTGGGTCACACTTAATGTTTGTGTCAAAATCCTAATACATCTTTAAGTTTGTTTCTTTCTTGATATCAGTCTTTAGCTTGTTTAATCTGGATAATAAACTCCTAAAAAATAATTTAATAAACAGTGCGTCATTGCGGTTAGCCAGACGAGGGCGCGAAAGTGAGGCGGGAAATAACCGTCACTTTGCAGCTTTTTCAGGTGTAGTGGTTTCATAAATCCATCACCAGACCACCTATGAATGTAAGTTTATTAAAACTACTCACTTTATGGCGACTCTAAGTAAAGACATAATTTTTCTCTCTTCATCTTCTGAGTCACACATACCTAGAACATAATGTTTGTGTCAACCAAAATCGAAATAAATCTATTTTTGTATATTTAGCAGTCAAAAAATGAATGGTACTCATAGATATTAGTACATATGAATGATATATACCGGAAACACATATAAACACATATAAACACATACCGGAAAGTATCGTTTAAACATTTTAAAGGTTAAAGGTCATTTGTAAAAACTTTAAAGTAATTTATAGAGCTGATAACTAGATAAAACTGTTTGCCTTTTGCCAAAATGAGACACTCATCTGTCATTTGTGATGTTGCTGCTTCCCAAATTCGCCTACTAAACG